ATAAAAGAGTAGTCTCAATTTTTCCTTCCCATCTCTATGACAATGCTGTCATTCATTTGACTTATCCATATGGTATAATCACCCAACACATTGTTAACCATTATTAATTTACTCAGTTATATTCTAGAAAAATTAGGAGTAAGGTAATTAGATTTTATTTTAACTTCATTTATCTTCCCCAGTGCCCTTCCTTTCTTTACACTGATACAAGTTTCTGACCTTGAGAAATAGATCCAAGTTTTCTTCTCCTTGAGAAATTCTTTTAACATTTCTTATAGGACAGTTCTGCTATTGATGAGGTCCTTTAGGTTTTGCTTATCTGAGAAAATCTTTATTTCTCCTTCACTATTGGTGGCTACATTTGCTGGGTATAGAATCCTAGGCTGTTGACTTAAAAAAACCCCTACTTTAAATATATCATTTTATTTTCTTTTTGCTTGCATGGTTTCTGCTATAATTCTTATCCTTGTTCCTCTAGAAATAAGGTATTTGTTGTTGTTGTTTCCTAACCTCTGTTTTCTTTCAAGATTTTATCTTTGTCTTGATTGTGCGCAGTTGAATAAGATATAGTAAGGGTAAGGTTTTCAACATGTAACTTGTTTGGTGTTACACGAGTTTTTTGTATCTGTTGTTTGGTGTCTCATTAATTTTGGAAAATTCTTAGCCATTATTATTTTAAATATTCTGTTATGTTCTCTCTCTTTTCTCCTTCTGGTATTCTATATATATACACATATATATATTATGTATATATATGTAATATATATATGTAAGCATATATATATGTGTGTGTATATATATGTGTATATATACACATATATACATATATGCATATATATATAGTATATATACACATATATATATACACATATATTTTCCTTTTGAAATTATTGCACAGTTCTTAGATGTTCTGTACTTTTCTTTTTCATTTTGTTTTTCTCTTTGCATTTTAGTTTGGGGATTCTAGCGATGTAGCTTTTTCAAAAAAAATTAGGTGAAATTCACAAACATAAAATTAACCATTTTAAAGTGCACAATTCAGGGGCATTTAGTACATTCATGGTATTATGCAACCACCATCTATATAGCTAGTTCCAAAATATTTTTGTCACCTCAAAGGAAAGAACTACTTGTTCAGTAAGCAGTTACTCCATACTTCCCTCTGCAATAAGTTGTTGGTAACTACTAGTTTATATTCTGTCTGTTTGGACTTATCTACTCTGGGTATTTCACACAAGTAGAATCAAAATATGGGAACTTTTGTGTCTGGCTTCTTTCACTTAGCATACTTTTGAGATTCATTTCAGTTATAGCAAGTATCAGTACTCCACTCCTTTTTTGTGGCTGCATAATATTTTATTGTAAGTTTGGACCACATTTTATTTGCCCATGTATCTGCTGATAGACATTGGGGTTGTTTCTACCTTTTTGTTACTGTGAATAGTGCTTTCAGTTAGCTGTTTTCACTATTTTCTTAAAGAATCTCATTTACTCTTTCCTCTTCTGTTTTCATTTTACCAATGAGCCCATCAAAGTCATTTTTCATTTACAGTGTTTGTAATTTATAACATTTGATTTTTAATAGAAACCGAAGTAGGTAGACCTGTGGGGTAAGGCTGTATGTTAGTCTAGTTAGGAGTTGGGCTATATTTAATTTTTGATGTAGCCGTAGGTGGCAGAAGCTTCAAGTTCTTCTAGTCCTCTTATTTTTATGTCCTCATTGACTCTTGGTTTCCCTAGGAGCTCCTCCTCAGAGAAAATCTGCATCTTGAATCTCTTTCAGCTGTAATCCAGTGTTATCTATGGGAGCCCTGTTGGAGTGGTGGTAACGTATGAGGGAGGAAAGTCATTCTATGATTTTATGATTAAATGTTTGTATTTAGTGAATCTGTCCCCTACTCTCTTAGGTAAGGAGAGAAGGCTAGAGGGGGCTGGGGTAGGAGAAAAATCTTTTCCCTAGGTGGACTAAAGCTCTGATAAAGTCTTTCCCCTGGGGAGTAGCCCTTTGTCGTGAAGAACCGTCTGTGAGAATTTCAGTGATTACACTTCCCCTCTGTCTACCAGAGCCACAGGTAATCTTTTATCAACTCCTGACTGAGAACCTGGTGGCATTCAGGAGGTAAACCCCACAAAACTTTGTGGGGGACAAGACTGCTTCTCCCCAAAAGTTTTTCATTTTTATGTTAGTCTATTCTCTCTGCTCCTCAGTTTGTCAAAATTACTATTTAAGTTTTCCTACCAGTTTATAGCTCCAGCAGCTTTTGCTTCAGGTGAACAGATCTAGGCTATGGTGTTCTGGATTTACCTGACCCACCAAATTTTAAGGTGGTCTTTTACCCTGTGACCTCAGTTCTTTGATGGGTCAAAAAAAAGTTGATTTTCAGGTTGTTTAGCTTTTTCTTGTAGTAAGGACAAGAGTGACAATGTCCAAGCTCCTTACATACTAGATCTGAAGCTGAATCACTATTTTTAAAAAACAAGAAATTCAAGAAAAACTTATTACCTTGGTAATGTATATTTTAGTTTCTCAGAATCCTCATAGAAAAGTTCTTCTTAATGTCTTGCTAAGCCTTCAAATCACATTGCTTCAGACTCTCTTTTTGTAATTTAACACTGAGAATAGCCATTAACTTTATTATCCTTTCACACTTGAAAGAGACTTTTAGGTCTCTCCCAGCTTTCTCTTCTCTAAGCTAAATAATGACAAGTGTTCTAAACATTTTAATGGCACTACTTTGTGAATCCTTTATTTTTTTTATTTCTCTTTTCTTTTTTTTTTTAATTTTAAAAAAAGATTTTATTTATTTATGTGACAGAGAGAGAGAGAGATCACAAGTAGGCAGACCAGCAGGCAGAGATAGAGAGGGAAGCAGGCTTCCTGCTGAGCAGAGAGCCAGATGGGGGGCTTGATCCCAGGACCCTGAGATCAGGACCTGAGCCGAAGGCAGAGGCCCAACTCACTGAACCACCCAGGTGCCCCTTATCTCTCTCTGTCTCTCTCTCTTTTTTTTAAGATTTTATTTATTTATTTGACAGACAGAGATCACAAGTAGGCAGAGAGGCAGGCAGAGAGAGAGGAAGGGAAGCAGGCTCCCTGCTGAGCCGAGAGCCCGATGCGGGGCTGGATCCCAGGACCCTGGGATCATGACCTGAGCCGAAGGCAGAGGCTTTAACCCACTGAGCCACCCAGGCACCCCACCCCCCTTCTCTTTTCTTTAAAAAATTTTTTCTATTTATGTAATAGAACGTGCATGTGAGAGAGAGCTAGAGAGAGCATGAGCAGGGGAAGGGGCAGAAGGAGAAGCAGACTCCCCACCAAGCAGGGAGCCCTATGTGGAGCTTGATCCTAGGATCTTGGGACCATGACCTGAGCTGAAGGCAGACGTTTAACCGACTGAGCCACCCAGGCACTGCATGATTGCTCTGTTCTGAGGCTTCTGAATCTTCTGTGCGTTTGAACTCTGCTTGATTTCCTGGGCCCTTGGCAAAAGTGGTCAGTGCAGGAGTACTTCTGGACATTCCCAGATTTTTAAACCTGTCAGGGATTTATAGCGAAACTGGGGAGTAAGGAAAATTGTATACAAAGATAAGTACAAGTAGAAGGTAGCAGGTACTGAGTATACATGAAAGACACAGATAAGCATGCTCTATACTTCTGAAGATGGAGTGACTGTGGAGGGCTGGTTTGGAGAGAAAGTGTTGGTAGAGGATATAAAATGTGACTTGGTTTTTGAAGGAATAGTAGGGCTTTAGTGGAAATGACCACTGATGTAATTCCAGAACAAAAGGACTAATACAGATTTAGGCAAAGGCATAAGTGTGCTTGAAGAACAAATATTTTGGTTGGCACAAAACTCTCATAAGGACCTACCCCTGAAGGGACACCAGCAGGTCTTCCTGCAGGCAAAAAAAAATTCTTAAAGATGTTTGACCAAGAGATGTATGTTCAAGGCTGGGTTTTGGAAGATGAAGATGAGGGTGGTATACTTGGCAGATTGCCCCGAGAGAATAAGTGAAAGTGAGAGTTAGTCCAGATATATTTGGGACTATAAATAATTGTCAATTAAAAAATAAACATAGGGGAAATCCACTGTTAAGTACAGTGGTGGTTGTAGTAAGAGTGATCAGGGAGTTTTGCATTAATATTTATTTCTTAATATCTAGGAGTGGACTGGGCAGGGGTACAATAGTGTGGGGAAGGCTAGCATGAAAATGGGAACAATCTCCCTTCATAGATTCTTACGCCTGAACTGCATCTTCTCTTGGTTACTTATGATTTCTCCATCTACTTTTTTCTCCTTTCCATCTACTTTTGATCTTTATATTGTGGAAGAGATTTTTCTTATTATGTCACCTGGCTGTAATTTTTACAAGAAGAAAGGACAGAAAAACCTTTTTTGCTACTATCTTGAAAAACACAATCTCTAAAATAGGCAGTTTAAATATTACCTTGGTAAATATTTACATGCACCCTCTGGAGCAAGGATTAACCGTTTCTGTAGATGAGAAAATTGAACACGAATTAGGCAGCTGGTAAGCATTAGAGCAAAAATACAAACTCAACTCTATTTGACTCTAAAGCTCATGTCCCTAAACTCTAGGCTGCACTGCTTTAGGGTCATAGGACTAGCTATATGCGTAGTGATGGGGCGCCTAGGTGGCTCAGTCAGTTAAGTGACTGACTCTTGATTTCAGCTCAGGTCATGATCTCAGGGTTGTGAGATTAAGCCTTGTTTGAAGTTTCCTGCTGAGTGGGGTGTCTGCTTGGGATTCTCTCTCTCCCTCTGCTCTGCCCCTGCTCATCAGTGTGCGCGCATGTGCGTGTGTGTGTGTGTGTGTGAGCAGACGCATGTGTGTTCTCCCTCTCTGTCTCAAAAACAAACAAAAACCTCTTCAGTGGCTTCCTATCTTTCTCATAGGATAAACCAAGTCTTTGAAATGGACTGCAAGGATCTACATGGTCTGCCACTCCCTCCTTGTGACTCTTCTGTCTAATATCCTTCCATTCCCCTTAGCTCCTGCCACTTCTGCATTGACCTCTCTGTGTTCCTTGTACCAACTAGACTTTCTTGCTGTGTGGAGCACTCTTTCCCATAAATGTCTGTTTTTTAAGGACCTCACCTCCTTCAAGTCTGTGCTCAAATCTTTACCTTCTTATTTGGGACTATCCTGATAATCTTATTTACACTGTGACCTGTCTTCCCACCCTCTCATTCCCAAACCCTATTGCTCTGCTCTATTTTTTTTCCACAGCACTAATCACAGTCTTATATACTGCATAATTCACTTTTTAAATTATTTTTATTCTTTTTTCCGAGTAGCATGGAGGCACAATTTTTGTCTCTTTTTGCTGTTCACTGAAGTATGTCAAGCATGTAGAAAACACCATCTAGAAACATAGGTAGTCATTTTTAAAAAATCACTGAATGAATTATTTTTCTTGCTTTTGTATATTCTATAGCTCATCCTAAAACTACTGGGAGTGTTATAAAAATCATGTTATAGTTAGAATATGTCTTTATGTATTCTCCTGGGAAGACATTAAAGAATATTTGTATAAGTTGTAGCAATAGGCTGGATTCCTTCCTTTCAGACGTGAAATTAAGATATTGAGGTATATGGTCTATCTGTTACTCAGGTATTCTTTGTTGCAAGTTCAAGAAAAATTATTAGGACCTGAAAGTTTGATAGCTGTTTTTTGATTATTTGAGCAAATTTTAATTGCCTGAGAGTTTTTATCACTCAATATTGTGCACTGCTTCTATAGCCAATGATTTAAATGAGAAGACAAAATAGAGTTGTCTCCCCCATCAGAAACAAACACAATATAATGTCACAGCTTTCCAGAACTGGTACATTTGAATGTGTGCATTGCAGGATGGGGGGTTGGTTGGGGTTATCGCTCAAAATGGCATTTCTGAAATATGTCTTTATTCATTTGGTAAGCAATAATCCCACCTCTTCCACCACCATTAAATCCATGTTAAGAGCCTATGTTATTTGTAACTAAGTTATTTTTATTTAAAAAAAAAGTGCTAGATTAAACAATAGTTACCAAATCCCAGATGCTACCTCCATTAAAGTAGCATTAAAGATGCACTCTAGGGGTGCCTGGGTGGCTCAGTGGGTTAAGCCTCTCCCTTTGGCTCCTCAGGTCATGATCTCAGGGTCCTGGGATCGAACCCCGCATCAGGCTCTCTGCTCGGCAGGGAGCCTGCTTCCCCCTCTCTCTCTGCCTGCCTCTCTGCCTACTTGTGATTTCTCTCTGTCAAATAAATAAATAAAATCTTAAAAAAAAAAAAAGATGCACTCTAGACTTCAGACTTCAAAAGAGTTCTTTTTTTCATACTTAACAATAACAAATGTTTCTGTACACAGCCTTTTAGCACTCTGTATATTTCTTAATACCTCATAGATCTCCAGATTTAATTGAACATGCACTCTCTAATTATCCATTTCTACATGAAGCATGTCTCTACTGAGGGGCTCCTACAGACCTGCGGGCATTTCTCCATGCTCTTTGGTGCACGTGCTTCCCCTCCAAGTGATTACCACCGAGTGGTTAGCAATCATGACTTTAACCATCTCCAGGAGCACAGGGACTCTGCTTTTAAGTCCTGCAATGGTCCTGATGGTTTGTCACCCTGCCCCCACCTCATCATGCTTTCTATCTGAAATGGAAAATGAATACTTTCCTATCAAGCTTAAGATGTACATCAACATTTAGTTCCTGGGTTCGGAGTCGGAAGCAAGCATCTTGTTCTCCTTTATGGACTAGAGGCAGTATGAATGACTTTGGGTTCATTTTGAGTCCACTCGCTCTCAGATTTTCCTGTGAAAAGTTGCATGAAGAGTGTGTTAAGTGTAGATTTCTGGACTCCATCTACAGAGATTGTGATTCCTTCAGGGTGGAAAGGAATTTGTGTGTTTAACAAGCGCCTGAGGGATTCACATGCAGGTGTGTTTTGAGCACTGGGACAGCTTTCTTGTGGGACAAGCATCACTTGAGTGGCATTTGAAAAGGTGGATAACCGTTCCCGTGTGTAATACCATGGGTGTAGCTGTTGGTGAATCTTTCCCTCCGACTGCTCTCTTTTTCTGTATTGGGAGTGCCTGATGGTTAGTGCTCACACATGACAATGACTAATATTGATACAACAATATCACTGTGATAAAATAGATTATATCCAATAGTGTCAGAGTGAGAAAGTTATTTTTTTTTCTAAATTTTAAGGATTTCCTCCAAAGAGCACTTTTTCTTTTATTTCTTTATTCACAGATACCACAGCCTAGTTGTTTGCAACTTGCTGTAGCTCATACAGAAATGAGCCTGCTCCTAGTCCTTTTCTTGTTTCTGCCATGCCATTAAATCTGTATGTCACTCTTAATTTAAAATTTTTATTATGACCAAAGTCACTCAGCTCTTCTAGCCTACTGCTGGCATTTTAGACAGGAGGATAAAAAAAGTAATATAATCATGAACCTAGAAAAAAATAAAATAGCAGTATTCCACCAAGTAGATTAGTAATTATACTTGCAGAAATAAAGGACAGACATGGCTTCAGGGAGTCCTTTTGATCTGTTTTTCATGGTGGAAAACAACTTAATGTGTTCATACATGATTCTCAGTGACTTCTAGAAAATGCCTTTGTCACTGAAAGAACAACCACTAAGTAACAGGAATCAGACAATTTTGTTTTTGTAGTAGCTGTTTCATGTCATTTACAAATTCGCTCCATTGAAACTGTCAAAGTAATTTAGTGACAAAGTGGTCAGTTTCAAACTCCAGTGCTCCTTCTCTTTTAGGAAATAACACTCTAACCCCCCCAAAACACCTTTTTAAAAATAACCACTGCATTCATTTCCTATTATATATTTTTACAAAATATACATGTCACTGCAGTAGCTCATATTGGTAACTGCTAAGAAGCATTTCAGTTTCCCTAGAACATGGCATCTTTTCTCCAATTAAAAATAATCATCTATTAAACCAATTGCTCTCTTTTTTCACTAACTTCCTTCCAAGAAAAAAAGATGATGTTAATGTTATTTTTAGTGTTTACTGAATTCTGTGCACAGTTTATTAACCTCAGAAGTTGTGGGGAAATTTCAGGTTATTTCACATTAAATTAGAAATTCTCTACAGACAGTTGTTAATTGACTCTAGATAGGGAAAATGGAAATGCCTTAATTCACTGTAAGAAAGTTATAGAGATAACATCATTATCATTATTAAATGAAATAAACCCAGCTGTCTCATTCTGCTGAGAAAAAAAAAATGGGCAGAGTTTTTAATCTAACTGATCTGGGCAGGGACAAGTCTAAGATGATTTTTTTAAAAAAGGCATATGGTAAATGGGCACATTGCCTCTGAACAAGATGAGGGTTCTGTTAATGAGGGTTAGATGAAGTGGCCTGTGTTACAAGGACACAGGTCTGACTAAAAGTCAGAAAATAATTTTTTTAAATTGAGGTTTAATTGACATATGACATTACATTAGTTTCAGGCATACCAAATAATGATTTGGTATTTGTAAATATGATAAAATGATCATAACAAAAATCTAAGTAACATCTGATCAGAAATTAAATAGCTTTTATTTAAATTTAAGCTGGAAAGGATAGAGTCTAAATTAAAAAAGACTGGATTAAATAAAGTTCACCCTCCTGTTTATTTTTTTCCCCTTTTTTATAGGCTCAGATATCAAAAGTAGGTGTTTTAGTCATGATTAAAACGTAAATTGGAGTCAGAATCAGTATTGTACTTTGTGTCCCTATGCAGTAGTCCCCTTCTTAATTTCTTGTTGGACTGACAGAACTCTCTGCCTCCTTTGTGTCCCATTTTTGTGTTTGTCAAGATCGGGTTTATCATATGGTCAGTGGTGCACATATCTGAGCCTGTCACAGGAAGATGAGATTTTGGAAGCGAGAGGCAGTACCTTAAATGCAGAAATGAGAGGGCTGCCTCTCGGAGGCCTGGCAAGAGGAATGAGACATCGCAGAGAGAAGGGCCCTGGACATAGACTCTGAAGATCTCAGCTGCGGATCCACCTCTCTGCTTACAAGTGGGGTGACTGGGACCCTACTGAGTTTCACTTTTCACATCAACAAAATGGGAAAGCTATTCACCCCATACATACACTTTTCACTTGGGTCCAGTGACACCATTAAAAAAAAAAAAACCTAACAGTGTGTGGATTAACAATTACTGAAAAAATATGCTTGATGACATAGTGTTGTCAAGGGCAACGGAAATGGGCCTGGGACCAGAAGGCCTGGTCCCAATACCAGCTTGACCACTATCGTACTTCTGTGTACATATCATTTAACTCCTCTCATCTCTAGAATGAGGATATTTATAGCTGGTATGCCTAGTTGAATGAAATTACTCATATAAAAACAGTTAGTGTTTAACTGCCCCAGGCAGGAGGGATAAAGCCCCGAATAAGACAACTGGGTCCCGCTTTGCTGGAACTTACAGCCTCGTGGAAAATAGGATGTATGTAAAACTACTTTATGAATTGTAAAGTGGCAAGCAAATGTGTGGTGTCATGGTTATTGTTCATGTTACAAGAGAAGAAGGGCATTCTAGATAAACTCAAAGTAGTAACCACATCTGTTGTTCTGTGGTTCCAAATGTTCCAAATAGAAGCGAACTCTGAGCAGTTTTTGAATTGGTGTTCAGAGCTACCTGAGATCGGTTTTTAAAAAGCTGGGTTAGTTTGGGTTTCCATGTTCAACTGTTAAAGGTAAAAATATGTAGCAGAACACTTCAAATGCTTAAGGAAACATGGATATGGCGACACTAGATCAGATTCTCTAATTGAATACTGGATACCATGAAGTCCTAAGAATTCTGTTACCTTTTTTTTTTTTTTTCAGCTCTATGGGCTACCACATAAGGAATTCCCTGTCTTTTCAGTAAGTTTGGTCCTGATAGGCTCTGTGTCAGTGCTTATACTGCCACGTTCATGCCAGCGAGGTCATGGCTGACCATCGTTTACAGGTCATAAGGAATAGGCAGATTGGACTTGGTGAGAGTTTGTTTGAAATGATTTTAATTCAATTCAATGTCT